TTGAAAGGCAGAAACACTGCACATTGAAAGGTTGTCAAGGAATACAATGTTTTGATACATTTACATAAAATGAAGCCACTTAGGTATGCTTATTTTTGTAATTTTTGTAATATATGTCAGAGACAGAGCCATGTGAACCCGCTTTCACACAGAAAGATTTGTGTTTTGAATTTGGAGCAGGGACAGTTTACATATATTATTATTCTTATTACATAGTATTTATATAGCGCCAACAGTTTGTGCAGCGCTTTACAATATAAGCAAGACATTACAGTTACAATACAATTCAAGACAAGATGGTAAGGACGGCCCTGCCCCTGAGCCTTTTGGAGTTCTTCAAAACCTCTTCTTCAAAATCTCCTGTTTCTTTTTCTTAAGATGAAAATATTCCATCACTGTCTTGTTTCAATATATGTTTAGAATATGTTTATATATGTTTAAAATAATGTTAAAAATACATTACATTTTTTTTTTACCGCAGTACACAAGTGCATTAAATTTATTTTAATGCACTTGCACTTCAATAGCTAATTTCTAGTGTAAAGGTGACACTGAGGGTCTTTTGGACCCCCAGCATCACCTTAAAGAGGACCTGTCACCACCATCTGCTATTACATGGGGGGGCTTGCAAGCCCCCCCATGTGATAGCAGTCAAAGTAAAGTAAAAAAAAAAAAACAGTTTTTAAAATTAAAATGAAATAAAATAAATCTAATAATAATAAAAAAAAATTTTAAAAGTACCCCGCCCCCGCGAGCACGCGCGTCGCCACGTAAACACGCGTCGGGTGCGCCTACGCATGAAACCGACGAACGCGCTACACATGTTGGGTATCGCCGCGCACGCCGGAGTGAGAGCAATAATTCTAGGGCCAGTATTTTGGGGTATCTCTAAATTGATGACCTGTGGGGGCTTTTAAAGTGTCTTTTATTGACTTTTTGGGGTACTGCAGTTTTTCGCCGTTTCACGGTCGCACGCAATCTGTAAACTGGGCATGTTGGGTATCGTTTTACTCGTTGTAACCTCATCTTTTATATTTCATTAAAAAAATGGGTAATTTGTTGTGTTTTGGGGCATTTAATTAAATTTGTCACTAAATTTTGGGGTTTAATAAGGAGTTGCGCTAATATTGCGCAACATAAAAATTTTCAACTACCACCATTTTATTCTATAGGGTCTTGGCATTCAGAAAATATATAATGTTTGGGGGTTTTACGTCATTTTCAGGCCTAAAATGTGGAATATAACATGGGTGCAAGTCATGAAGGGGTTAAATCATTTGTAAGTTTTGTAACTCTGTGACATATAAGGTAAAACACGGTTATATGAATGTGACATGCTGTGGCTCCATCTGGTGGATATTTTGTAATACTGCAATACACATTATTACAGTACTAGGAAACTGGAGATAGATGTATATGAGCTGCCACTGGTTTGGGACTGTTGTTCTGGCTTTTCCACTGTGTGAGTCACTGACAGGTAAAATTAGCTGCATGCTTGTTTTAAGTTAGTGACTCACTGATTGGTGAAGACAAAATCCGGAGGACAACCTTGGAGCCTGTGCCTTAAAAACGAAGTGAGCAAAGGCAGCTACCATATTTCTATCCTTTGTTTAATTCTCTTTAATTTGAGTTCTTGTGTGATTTTAGGACACCTTTGTGCCATTGTGTATAATTGTGTCAATTATAGGAAAGTAGATTATATTTAAGCAATACATAGGATATGTACTTTGGTTGCAATGCTGGCCTTTATCACCTGGCCTGTGAGTGACAGTAATGGTTCTAACAATGTTTGAAGGATGAGAGGAAAAGCAGTCAATTACATCTATAACTCAGCATGGAGTGATACCCACTCCCGTACATAAATCCATTTGTATGATCTAGATGTAATGTTGCTTATCGCACTATGTTACCTGCTGGGTTATACCAGGGAGGGAATAATGGTTGGTTGTTTTTGTACATTGGCTCTGTTGCTGGAAAACACTGATAAAAGACACAAGTAATGTAGGTTCATGAGACATTTAAAGAAGAACTCCATCAAAACTATTATTATCCCTTGCAGTGTGGCTACACCCACAATGCAAGGGTTTACTGTTTGTTTTCATCTAGGTACTAAAATAAAAAGTTATACTCACCCGATCCTCCGAGCTAGCTTGTTCTTAAACCGATCCTTCCAGCTCATCTTCTAATGCCCATCTATCCATATCTAACAGAACACAGATATTATTCATTTTGTAGGAACATGTATGAAATAAATATTAACAGTGGTCTGAAACTGCTGTTTTGGACCAGAGAAAGTCATTAGTTTTCTATGCACTGTCTAAAATACTGTATGTGTAATTTATAGTTAAAATGCACGAAAAGTGACCCTAATGAACTACATAATGTAGGTCAGTATTATTAAGTATGACTTAGTGGGGAGCTAATACATATATCAAGTCATGTTAAAGGCTTTAAGAGGTAGAACTCATCAGCCAGTGGCTCATTTCTCATTTGTTAGTAACTTAATTGCTTAAATGACAATTATATAATGAAATTGGCTGTCAGCTCAGTGGGCTGGCGAAGACTGCACTTTGACCAGAGGGTCTTTTTCACTGAAGTGGCTTTTGGATTTTTAGCAAATGTTTCATTTAAAACTAAATGTCTTGAATAAGAGCAGGTACACCAAGTTGCCTGTTGTTAATTGTATTAGTCAGACATTCCTAATAGGGGCACCTCATTGTTTTAGTTTATATTAGTGTTGTATTTGTTCAATTAGTACCAAAATCCTGCCAAAAATACAGTGCTCAAGTGCATGTTCCAGTTTTAGCAGTCCTTAGGTGTGGTGGCTGCATTTTTATCTCATACAATGTTTCAGGTAGTTTGTTAGGACTACAGTATACCTCCCCCTATGGAGAGGAGGTTATCCTTAGCCATTATTATTATTATTATACAGGATTTATATAGCGCCAATAGTTTGCACAGTGCTTTAGAATATAAGGAAGACATTACAGTCACAATACAATACAATTTAAGACAAGATGGTAAGGAGGGCCCTGCCCATGAGGGCTTACAATCTAAAAGGGAGAGAGGGTGATTCACCCTAGTACAGGAAGTGTGCTACTTGCAGGATCACTGGCTGAAAATAAAGGAAAAAAGGCATGAACACAATAAAAAACAAATGCATCCACCACACCTAAGGACTGCTAAGCTGCAATATAATATGTTTTTTGTTTTTAAATTTACATACACTTTAAAGGAGAACTATAAGGTGAGTGGAAAATCACTCATCCTCATAGTTCAAGCCGACGTGTGACAATGAAACTGTCACAGGTCGGCTCAATAGATCGGGAAGTTAGCGAACGTATACCGTAGCTCGCTCACTTCTCGATCATCTCCCTGCAGAGAGCGGTGACTGTCAGTCATCACCCCTCGCAGGGATTCCCCCCTACCCTCTCCAATCCTTCAGCGCAGAGCCAGCTGTCTTTCACACAGCTGGGTGGATCTCTACAGCATTGTCGGGATCTGTCCCGGTTGCGGCGGTCTCAGTATACCACGATTTGTAGTTTGCGATATACTGAGTTTTGGGTCACGGGACAACGCTGGTATATGTCGTCCCGTGACCCTTAAGAGAACTATTGGGAAAAACACTTACCCCATAGTTCTCTTTTAAGCCTGTCGCTTTTACCGACGTATGTCATATGTTGGCAGCAGCTGACCCCTGTAAGCGGACTCCCGGCAGATATAGCTGTGTGTTTTATCTTTTTGTACGATTTAGTAAGGTAACTGCTAGGCTACTGCTGATATATACATATACATACAGAGATAATAGTGTTAGTTGAAGAATTGAATAATTGTATAGTGATGACAGCAGGAGTTAATTCATTCAAAGACTACACCTAAATAGGAAGGACACCATAATATTGTAAACAGCTACAAGTCTATAGTGCTAACAGGAAATGTGAGAGTTCACTGGATTAAGTGCAACCTTTATTCAGAAGGGATGACGGTGAAGGTCAAAGAAATGACCTTTAATGAAACAAAATTTACATTGGAAATATGAGTGTTGCTTATAACACAGCCAACAAAGGATACTTTGTATACATGTCCTAATTGGGAGAGTAGGCAGAAAATTACATCAGTAGGCAATAAAATATGGACCAACCAGTAGAACTCCAGTACCAAGTCAAAATGAATGCTGCAAATAGTTGTTTTGGGCAACACTTTTTGGGCCATGTTTGTTTTTAAAACATTCACCTTAGTACTTCATCTAAAAATAAAAAATAAATAATTAAATCTTAACTCCAGGCAAACTACTAATAAACCATTGAAACAAATGTATGCTTCCTGTTTTACCTGTCGAAAGATTTGTAATTCTGTAGTCAATTTTGTGAGTTATACTCCACTGATATACAGCCAGAACGATCATGCCACCTCTCCCTGAATACGCTTCTATACTTTCTGGCTCAATGCTTCTTGAAGCACCTCCTTGCTGAGCTGTAGGATGTCCAGGCCCTTATCTATAGCTGAGAAAAGACTCCTGAGTTCATCTTACTTAGTGTTGTATTGTTCCAGTTGAAAACAAGGATACACATGACATATAAAGTCTTACTAGTGTAATTGATGTTACCTAAGTGACTGAATGGGTCTTACATTTTTAAACATGTGACAAATAGCTGCTCAAAGAAGTTTGATATACCTATAATGCAGAGATAATACATTATTTTTATCTGGTGGGCATGTTTAATATTGGAATCATTATTATTGTGGTTACTTTCCCAAAGTTAGAAGCAAATATTGCTTGATTAGTATATTAACATTCGAGCAATTGGAACATGGATCAAAGCTTGACCAAGGCTATTCTGTGCAAATCAGTATATATAGCATGACAACCATGGTAGATCCTACCAACTTTTTCTCATTTTAGGAAAAAAATATTTTTAGAATGGGAAATGTATATTTTATCTTCTAATATAAACTAATTTATTAATAAATTACATTTTACTTTTTTTTCTCTCCTACAGTCTCCAAAAGTCCAGCGCTACCCAGATATGGAAGCTGTACCCCTGCTTCTCAACAATGTGAAGGCTGAGCCCCCAGAGGACTTGTTAGCCACAGACCATTTCCAAACACAGACGGAGCCAGTGGACTTGTCAATAAACAAGGCTAGGTCCTCACCTAGAGGTGTATCTTCTTCTCCACTCTCCATTGCAACTTCTGCAGCTTCACCTTCAAATTCTTCATCTTCCTCCAGCTGTCCTGTTTCATCTCCATCTGTGATAACTTCGGTACCATCAACAGCATCAGTGCCAACAGTATTAACTCCAGGGCCGCTTGTGGCATCAGCATCTGGAGTCGGTGGGCAGCAGTTTTTGCACATTATTCACCCCGTCCCACCTTCAAGTCCTTTGAATCTTCAATCTAGTAAACTGAGTCATGTTCACCGTATACCAGTTGTTGTGCAGTCAGTTCCTGTTGTTTACACTGCTGTGAGATCACCAGGGAGTATGAATTCTACTATAGTAGTACCTCTGTTAGAAGATGGTAGAAGTCATCTTAAAGGTAAGCACTTCCGCAAAATGTAATTATTTTATTTTTAATCTAACTAGTATGACTTTTTTTTATATGTTACATATCTGTTGGTATAATGCATTAGATGAAAGTTTGCTCATCTGTTTTTCAATATAATAAACACAATCCAAAGGTTTTAAGGCCCTAAATACCACATAGTTGGGGATTGCTTTAGTTTGTTGAGCATGCTTTAATGGTAACTTTATTTTTTGGGAGGTAAGTCTGTCTTAAAGTTGACCTTACGCAATTTTACAAATCTGCATGAATATATTCCTTTATATCCTTTGAGCTACATGTAAGCGACTTTGTCTAAGTTGAGATTATATCATAGGTCTGCCGTGATCAATTTTCAACATTGTACATTTGTAAGAAGTGGAGAGGCTACAGCATAAGGTTGATCTGTGCCAGACATTTGTAAACACATCCAAGTATACTGCACGGGCGACAGGATCTACATGACCCTGTCATTTCCGAGCCAGCATCTCAGTCCAGGAAGTAAATCCTGACTCTAGATAATGCATTAACCAAGATGGCTCCATCCTTCTGTGTAGAAAAGCTAATGAAGCTATTGTCAAGGGGATGTACTGTGATCTCTGTGAGAGGTAATAATAATATTATACTTTACATGCATACACTTATCAAGCAAAATATATCTGGTGCTAGGTCCACTTTAAGATAAAATTAAACAAGATTAGCAGAGGGATCATTTTACCCTTTTGTTACCCTTTATCTGTGGCCAGCTATGGTATTTTACAGGGTGCTTTCAGAGAAGCACGTGACTAAATGAAGTGTATTTAGTTGGTGGTAAAACAGATAGTATGGAACAGAATTAGCAAAGGCAGGGAGCAAAGGAAAAACATTACTGGGTCCCACAGAGGGTAGATAACAAACAGGTCCAGTCTGGTGGATGGTGTACTGTTGTGCATTCATCTGGGTGGTTAGAAGGACTTTACCCTAAATGTATCTTATATAGCAAGATTTCAGACACATTAAGACTATATGCATGTCTAATAAGGTGACAAGTTTATAGCAGGAGTTCCAGTTTTCCATTTATTATACAGCAACATACCTTGTAACTAAAAGCTTAATTTGGAACACTGGAACTACATGTTCTGGTGCCTTGGCTTCTGCAACAGGAGGATGAAGGTTATTTCTAATGGAATATGGTATATATGGTACATTGTAAGTATTATTTGCTAGTGGACATGCCTTATCATCTATTGGTTTATTTGCTGATGGACATGTAGGTTAATTCATTGGATTAATTGCTGGTAGACAGAATAAAGAAATATTATTTGAATATGAAGTTTCATGGATACATGATGGATATATATATTGTTAAAGTGTTTAAAGAGATTGTTCAACAGCGCAGCGCCAAGCAGCGCAGCGCTGGAGTAGATTGATTGCAAGGTAAGTTGGCCATAGTGTGCTAATATGTCCTGCATACTAGCACATTGTGGCAAACACCTCTAGAGTTTTTCTTTTTCTTTTCAAAAACCACTTTAGTTCCACTTTAACCCCTTCATGACTGAGGCCCTTTTTTCAATTTTTGCACCATCACAGAATTTCCTTTTCTGAAAATAGAAAGAATAACTAACATACTGTTTACCTTGAAAAACTGTGTTTTCTGGCAGTGAGGTCCATCATTGAGCTATGTTGTTTCTTATATGTTCATGTGAAGTTTATCATTAAAGTGGACCTTTACCCCCCCCTGACTAAAGATCACATCACCATACAGCTCTGTGTGTTGATATGAAATCATTTTACATTCATTAGCTAAACAAACATAATTTTATTTTACTTACAATTAATTTTTTTACACTTCCTAGTTCTCTTTGGCACAAATTATGTAATGGTGCGCAAGCATTACATGCTGAGAGAGTTACATCAGCAGAGCATTCCTGGTAAATCTCATCTGTAATCTCATGAGATCTCAGGGAAAGGCATTTTCCTCCCTTGAGATGATGTGCATGGTCACATGTTCTAGTCACATGTGCCAGAGTTCCAGGAAGTAAAGGGAGATCTAGCAACATGCCCTTAGTTAAAATAGCCACTGTCAGAACACTGGGGAGGAAAAGAATAAGAGGTATGCAAAGAATACAAAGCTGGCAGTTATCTAGAAGTATGTGTTTGTAGATTGTCTTTCATTTCTAAAGGTGCCTTTGTTGTTATTTTGAATATATAGGTAAAGTTCCTCTTTAGAAAGTTGTTAGTTTTGTATTTACGCTTCTAAATTATAATATATTACATTACATAGATATTTGAGTATTTTTGCAGTGGTTTACCGAAGTCACATTCATTGCTAATGAAACTTACAATGTAAAGACCACAGTCATGCAAGTGTATGCACACTTTAGGGGTAGTTGGGTTAGAAGCTAGCTAATGTACCATTTTGTTTCTGGTTTGTGGGCGACATCTAGATACCTGGAGAAAAGCTACCCAAATGGCCAGATAACAAACTCCATGCAGAGGTGGGGGCCAAATCCATGACCAGAATCCTAAACGGCCAGAGAGCCAGCCTTTTTGCAACTGTTGTTTATCTTACTGGTTATTCTCTTTCTTTCCCTCTCCTTTCTATTTGATGATCCACCATCTTTTAGGGACAACTGTGAATTGTTCTATAACAAGAAATTATATTGAACTCATTAACTACATTAGGAACCTTTTGGCATCCCATTTATGTATTTTTTAACTTTTATTATAGATTTTTCAGCTCACCTCTAATTAAAATTCAAATAGTTACACAGCAGGGTTGATGATTTTACATATTTTAATTTATACACTATCCTATAAGTGGAATGATATACAATTATTCTTTAAAACCTGCAACTCTGTAAAATCATACATAAACACACTCCATTAGATTGTAGTAGGTCACTGAATATTTAATGTAAAATGTCTGCTTGGATTATGTCTAACAAGCCCATATTTGCATTTAAGCCAAGCAGAAAGTTAAACACATCTACAAGGAAAAACTACTGTGTATTTGCTTGATAATATGTAACAATGTAACCGTTTATCAAGCTCATTGCTCTGTGCAGCAGAGCGGAAACATTGTGCAAAGGGCAGTAACCCATAGTAATTAATTTCAAATCATCTCTTAAATGATCTGACCTCAGTAAATAAAGATTGGTTGGTTGCTCCGGGTTGTTACACATTGTACATCGTCATTGCTCTTTGATATGAGAACTTGCGTGATCAAACTTGGGTAAGATGTGGTTAAGTGTTCACAATCAGCAGAGTTTATAGAAATGGAGAGGAGAGCGGTGGACACTTGGGAGTACGCCACCAATACCGACTTATTGGATGGAACTATGGTGGTGGAGAAGACACACATAAAGAGAAGTTAATTGTCATACAATCTACACTCTTCCATTGCCATTGCATGACAATCTTACAGACAAAATGTGAATCATACCATGAGAAACCTTTTACTGTTTAAATTTCATGTAGCTTCTGTTAGAAACGCACTTAAAATACATGGGCCAAATTTGGTGTTATTCAACATGGGTAAAACTTAAAATAGAATAGAGTTACCTGCCAGTTGTGTGATTTATACAACCTTATCTCATAGTCTTGCCAGAGGATGACACCCAGCTCTATTCAGAATCTGTATCTCTGCATCGGTCTGTATCAGCTTATTATGTCTAACCTGCTTTTTGGACTGTAACTGAGCCCTGTTGATATCACTCTTTGCTCCCTTTTTGTGGCTCTACCCCTTCTTTTCAACCAGTTTTGACTTTTATTTCTATGAGGACCCAAACTGTGATGTAGTTCTTAAAATTGGGCTTTTGAACAATAAAATAGTCGATATTTTGATATCTGATATTCTGATAATTAGGCAAGTGCATTAGTGGAAGTAATTCCCTTTCCAGGATCAATGTTATTGTGAGGAAGAATCCCCCCTCCAGACATCTGCTTTAGTTTTAGGAATAATCCCCACTCCCAGGCTGTGTCAGTGGGAGGAAAAATCCAGTCCAGTGGAATTTTACCCCTTACCAGTCATTGGTGGTCAGTAGAATATCACCCTGCCCCCCTTCCCATGCATTGGTGGTCAGTGGAATAGCCCCCAACTTATCTCCCCTTTCCAGGCAATAGTGGTCAGTGGAATATCCCCCTTCCTCTCCCTTCTTAGTAATTAGTGGTCAGTGGAATATCCCTCTTCCTAGGCATAGGTGGTCAGTGAAATAACTTCCCCTTTTCCCAGACATTTCTCAGACACCTTTCCAGGCATTGGCGGTCAGGGGTAGGCACTGCCTGTGCCCTATACTTACCTGTGTTCTGCTCTGCCTCCTACACCTTTGCCTGTGCAGTGAAGCCTGAAATTGGGTCCAGGAACAAGCGTTTCTGCACTCTGGTCCCAGGGACACAGCCCAGATCTGCATGACCCATGGGACTTTGTTGTCTTGTGGGATCTGGTATGGTTGATGGGGCGTTCTGCTTGGAGTGCTACATGTTCTCATGGCTATCTGACTAAAGACCTACAGGTAAACAATCCACGAAACCTAGCAATGTCCAGTGGTTTTTGTATATATTTATATTTCTGTAATTTCTAGTAGCATAAAATAACTGTACATAATTAGCAGTATTAGGTTATCTCTTCAGCTGCCATTATTAATGTGAGAGTATCCTAAAAGGGTTGTAATGTGTAAATTGTTATTTATTATATTTTTTTAAGCTATAATGGTTCATTTTAACATAAAAACAGGTACAACTGGGAAACAACTATCAAAATATGCAAAAATGTTTGGTGGGGATATGAGATGTGATATCAAGTTGCAGCTATGTACGCACATGCACTGAGGAAGTGGTGGTGCATCTTTGCACAGAGTTTATGCTGTAATAACTTAGTATTAGGCTAAGCACACAAATGTTGAGGTTTTTTGTTTTATCTGTTTGTGTTTAATAAATAAAACAGTGTTGGTCTATTGGATCTTTCTTCTTAACTTATGTACATGGATGGAGAGTACCTGTTAATACTAAGGAGGAGAAACGCGGACCTGAATTTATATGCTAAAAAGCACATGTTTGCGCTGTGTCTTTATAGGGGGTCTAATACATCTGGTTAGTTCGTTTCCAGTTGAGGGTAATTCCTTGGGAAAAGAGGACGCTTGCTTAGCATTTTATTGGAGTGGAATATTGTACTGTTTTTTCTAAACACAGGCTTTTTACAGTTCTCTTTTTTTTGCACATTAATTGGAAACGTATGGACTTGGATATATTTGCATATTTTTTACTATTATTTCAGTTTGCATTGCTTGGATTAGTTTGTATGAATATATGTGACGTAGAACTTCACCTTAAAGCATTTTTTGCTCATGTGATTAAGGTTTATAGGGTGATATAGTGCTATATATTATTATTTATATATGCTAGGTTAGGGTCTGGAACTCACTGCCGCAGACAGTGATTTCAGCTAAGAGTGTGGAACTGTTCAAGAAACATTTGGACGATTTCCTGAGGGACCGTAATATACAGGGGTAAAAGTATCCTAAGAATGAGATCCTATAGGTTGGACTTGATGGACTAATGTCTTTATTCAACCTCAAATACTATGTAAAACTATGTAAAACTATGCTGCCTGGCCAAAACAAGTCACCATCTGGATTTAGCTAAGCAAATAGGTAAGTGGCTTCCATTGGATAAGTGTTATGATCTGGGGTTGCTTCAGTTGGGCAGGTCTAGGTTCAGCAACATTATGTCCCCAAAAAATAATGTCAGCTGACTACCTGAATATACTCAATGACCAGGTTTTCCATCAATGGATTTTTTCTTCCCTGATGGCTCGGGCATACAGTATTCCAAGATGACAATGCCAGTATTCATTGGGCTCAAATTGTGAAATAGTGGTTCAGGGAGCATGCAATATTATTTGCACACATGGATTGGCCACCACAGAGTCCAGACCTTAACCCCATTGAGAATTTTTGGGATATGCTGAAGAAGACTTTACACAGTGCTCCAAGTCTCCCATTATCGCTACAAGATCTTGGTGAAAAATGAATGCAACTCTGCATGGGAATAAATGTGACATTGCATAAACTTATCAAAATAATACCATGGCGAATGTGTGCCGTAATCAAAGCTAAAGGTGGTCCAACAAAATATTAGAGTGTGTGACTTGTTTTTAGGCCAGGCAGTGTATTTTTTCACTTTGCTGCTGCATTGGTAGGGATTTGGTTTGCACTTTACTAATGTTAGCACTATGACCAATCTGTGAACTCAAGCATAGGCAAAGATCAAAAATTTGCTATAATAAATCTTTAATAAGCAAGCCTGCACAGTTATAATCATTTTAGTAATTTGAGTATTTTGATTTTTGCACAAGCACAGTCATGAGTAATTCTCTTTGAACGATTTATAAAACATTAAAAAAGAGTTTAAAAATTATATTTTGATCGGGGGGGGGGGGGGGGGGG